GAATGACACAACTGAGACCAAAAGAAACAGGAATGAAAAAGAGAAAAGAAGGAACAAGGTCCAGAGGAGACTTGCTGGCCTGGATCAGTGGAATGAATCTCACAAGATGGAGACCGATAGCAGCAAAGTGCCACTTTTTGCTCAGATACACCAGCCACTCAAGTACCAGCTTGTGGGGACAGGGCTGATCGATGGTAAAAACAAAAATAACCAGACACCAAAACCAAACAAACAAACAAAAACACGCACAAAAAGCCTCACATAATCTCATACCTCACACAATTACAATACAAATGAATGTTGACGTTGAACATGACAGAAATGGAAATGACCTTACTTTGGACCTCATTTTGTGATTGCATTCATTATAATAACAGAGAGCACGGTAACTACTTAAAATATTCTTTCGTATTTATATATGCACATCCTCAGTTAAGAGCAAAATTTGGTAAACCATGTAACTTTTGGTTTGGAAAAAACCAATTGATGGAGTGTGAGTGACATCAGAAACTCTGCTGAACAGATCACACCTGCAGAGTTGTGAAGGTTCATCCCCAGCATCCAGTACGTAACATGTTTTCAGAGAAAGACCACTATGGTGGTTAGGAACCAGAAAATGAACGGGTAAGTGGGAGAAAAGGAAAAGAGCACAGATCACTAGGAACTGGTGGAGATAAGGAGTGGGGATAGGAGAGACACAGCAGGCTAGAGGGATACACCTGTACTTGATGAGTCATATTCCTGGGTGACTCTGGTGTTTCTGTGCCAAGACTTCTGAGTACAGCTAGTGATGACTCACATGCTATAGCCACTGTACTTGATCTCAGAAAGAACCTGCATCATAGCACACTGTACTTTCCCTCTGTGACATTTAACACAACAACAACTAAATAACTATGTGAGCACTTATCTCTCTGCCCATCTAGATGCTAAGTTAAGTCCATGGGAACAAACACTGTGTTAGTCTCTGTCATCCCTGTATTCTTAATGCCTAGTGTACAGACATAATGAGCATGTACTAAGCACTCTATCAACATACTTGAATGAATTTTTTTTTAACATTGCTCAGCAATTCAGTAACTGCCCTATATTGTGGAAATTTTTAAAACAGAAAATACAATGAAAAGAAATCACGTGTTTCATGTTAGCGAAAGGACATTGCAGCCTGCAAACGAAAGATACATATCTCAATACAATATAAGGAATAATTTTGACAATTGAACACAGTTCATTAAGCAGATTATCAGGTAAATCTCATCACACTCATAGGATATGTCACATTCTCTCCCCATAATGCATTAAGTTAGAAATCAGGAACAAAGAGATAAATAGAAAATCTCCATATAGAAATTTTAAAGCACACCCTTAAGAAAAGAACAACTGTGTGGGTCAAAAAAGAAGTCATAAAGGAAATTGAAAATATAGATAAACAATAATAGCACTATATACTTTTTAAAGGGGAATGCAATAAAGCAGTATTGAGAGGGAAATTTAAAGCCTTAAATGTTTATATGAGGACAGGAATAGGATGGAAATCAATGAGTTGAACATCTAGCACAGGGAGTTAGGAAAAGAACAACAGATTAAAACTTCCACAAGTCAGAAAGAATAAATTAGTAAGACTGGAAAACTTCTGGCAAGACTGAATAGGAGAGAGACAGGGGACAGGGAAGGAAAGGGAAGAGAAGGGAAGAGTGGGGGAGGGGAGGGGAGGAGAGGAAAAGAGAAGGTGGTGGGGGAGAGAACAAATATAAACTATTTTTTTAAAGTATAGATGCTTCTGAGGTCAAGACGATAATAAAATCATAGCATTTTCAGCTGTATAGCAATAAAGTTGAAAACTTAAATGTTCAAAATTCTAGAAAAATGTAACTGACTCAAGAAGAAATAAACTATAAAAACTGAGTTAGTTGTAAAAACAACAAAAACAAACAAAAAATGAAAACTTTCCCCAAAGAAAAGCCTGTGCCCTGATGGTTTTATATGTTAAATCTAACAATCAACAAGTAATTTCAAACTATTACAACTCTTCCAGAGAACAAAGAAAACAAACTTAACTCATTTTTTTGAGACTGCCTAACTTTAATAACTAAATTATCCAAGGAGAATAAATCCTATTAACTATAGAGACAGACATCTTAAACAGAATATTAACAAAACAATCTAGCAAGCTATAAAGAATAATAATCATGAAAAAAATGGATTTATCCTAGTAATACAAACCTGGATCAACATTAGAAAGATCAGTCTATTAATTACCAGTGAAAAACCTGTATGATTATCTTAACTGATGAAGAAAAATCATTTGATCAAGTCGATATCTATTCCTGACTTATTAAAAAAAAAAGATCCTTAGCAGTTAGGGATAGAAAATAACTTTCCTACACTGATAAATAATATCTATCAAAAAAAAAAACCGAGTTGAAACTCAGTATTATATTTGATAGTGAAAAGGTAAAAGTATTCCTGTTTAAGACCAGGAGTAAGAATGCTTTCTATTACAACCCCCATTCAGCTTTGCGTTGGCAGTACTAAAGGCCAGCTCAATGATATAAGAAAAAATAAAATGAGACGTATGAATATTATAAAGAAAGAGGCTGTTATCCTCCAGAGCTTATTCATTGTCTACCCTGAAAACCTCAGATCTCAAAGAATATTTAGATGAATTGTTAGAATCGATGAGGGTTTATCAAGGTTGCTGGATACAACATAAATATTCACATCACTTGTATGTCTATATGCCGGCAATTGTTAGATCACACCACGCTTTTAGAAAATATCTTTCGCACAAGTCCCCAAAACATAAAGGATTAGTAATGAATAGAAAAAAAATTGGTGAAAAGACTTTATGGGGAAATTTTAAAAGTATATTGAAAAATAATAAACAAGATAAAAATAAATGAAGAGTTATAACAGTGATACCAATGTTAAAGATGTGCCTTTCACCCTGGAACCATTACTGAGGACCAGCCTGAACTGTTGGGGTCCAACCTTTACTTGGTCCTGGACTTGCAGTCACTCCTCGTTCTCAGCAGGGATGGAGCATCAATTTCCATCACTAACGTCAGAATTCTTGGATATTACTCACCTGGAGATGCTTGAATCTGTCTCTGAGAAGGGTGACAGAGCAGGAGACCAGATGCTGTGTTTCATCTTTCAGTAAAATGCTTCTAGGAGCATGTGCATTTAAAAACACATTTTAAACATTTCTATGCAGGCACTGCTGCAGGATCACAGCTGCACAACCAATTTTTTTACACCAAGGAATATCTCACCCATGATGAATTCAGCAACTTTATTTTTCGTTTGTGCATATCTCCCCTTTCCGTATTTCATTCCTTAAATATGCCATTTATGCCTATAAAGCAATGCCCATGACAGTGAGATGCCACTGTCTTTATCTCCAAAGTGGTGACAGCTAATTTATTACTTTCATTTATATCTGCAAGGAGTTTGTGGAGCAAACTTACAGTCTAGAACTCTGTAAGTAACAATTCCCTCTGATCTCTTCATCAATATGTCTAGGACAGGCTGAGTCGTGGAGAACATATTTTTGTTAGTGTTATCTAGATCAGGGCGGGGGAGGGCAGTGACCAACTGTGACTGAAGAACTAAACAAAATAAAAAATGGTACTTTCCAAAACTCCTGCGTTGTATTTATTTTGAAATATTTTAATCACAGTGTGTTGATTGGTGCGGTCAAATTGTACCAATTGTCTGCTGATTTAGCTGCAAGAAGACATACTTTGGAAGATAACAGTGTTATATAATATAACATTAAATTATTACATTATATTTTATATATTATAACATTGTTATAACATTTTATAACAGTAAATATTAAATAACTTAGTATTAAGCTAGAAGCAACTCTCAGCCATGAGTCTTGAGTCTTTGTTTCATGTCTAACGATACTTATCCTCTGCCTGTTCCTTGATATGTGATCCTGGCACTGTCTGCAATGAGCTGGTCCAGAGCTTCAGCAAGCACTCCTATTTAGCATTACTTTGAGGTGCAATTCTGGACATCTAAAGTTCAGGGGTCATGAGGCTGGCGGATGGACTTGGGAAAGGATTGAATGCAGGCCTCTTTATCAAGAGACAGGAAACAAACTTTGTGGAATACGGTTCACATTTTCAGCTGTATCAAAAGCCTTACTTTTTTGCTTTTGGTCTCTTCATAGTACTGTCATGACTTACCATCCCAACCTGTAAAAATATTCTGTGGCTCAGATGGCCCAGAATTGATTCTTGAAAGTTTTTTTTTTTTTCCCCCTTTGGTTTTGTTATGTCTCCTTTGTTGTTGTTTTTAATCTGGGAGGATCACTGTCATTTGTTCCTTTGTTAGATAATCTGCCTTTGAGCAAACATCATTACCAACATTTGACCTAAATGGAGTCAATTATTGCTATTTTCTCATGCTTTAGTGGTAAATTCAATCTGGACAAGTTTATTAAAAGCAAATTAGGGCTTCCCTGGTGGCGCAGTGGTTGGGAGTCCGCCTGCCGATGCAGGGGACGCGGGTTCGTGCCCCGGTCTGGGAAGATCCCACATGCCGCGGAGCGGCTGGGCCCGTGAGCCATGGCCGCTGAGCCTGCGCGTCCGGAGCCTGTGCTCCACAACGGGGGAGGCCACAACAGTGAGAGGCCCGCGTACAGCAAAAAAAAAAAAAAAAAAAGCAAATTAAAACTAAAATTAAACTTAAGGTTACTTTCTTTATTCCAGTAATTTAAACAGCACAGAGTAAAACAGATACGTTTCCATTGTTGATTCTGGTTCTTTTCCCTTTTCTTTCAGCAAGAACTTTATACGATATTGCCCACTGAAGATGGAATTCAGCATGAAGGCCATCTTGGCCTCCATCAAAGAGATCACTGAGGGCTTCCCTGATGGCACAGTGGTTGAGAGTCCACCTGCCGATGCAGGGGACATGGGTTCGTGTCCCGGTCCAGGAAGATCCCACATGCCGTGGAGCGGCTGGGCCCGTGAGCCATGGCTGCTAGGCCTGCGCGTCCGGAGCCTGTGCTCCGCAACGGGAGAGGTTACATCAGTGAGAGGCTCACGTACCGCAAAAAAAACAAAAACAAAAACAGAGATCACTGAAAAGCCAAAGGGCCTCTAGGATGTCACACCTCATGATGTACAGAGGGCGCAGTGCACTCTACAGAATTGGGCTTGAAAAGTAAAGAAGGCAGACAGAGTTTCCTCTCTTACTGGAATCTTCTGGAAACCATAGCCATGGGGTATTCCCGAATGCCTCACATCCTTTAAGCAATGTTTAATGGCCACCTGTTGCATGAGGGCTCATCAGGGGAAAGGACCATTTCACGACAACCTAGGACCCTGGCCCTAAACTTCGGTGTCCAGGCTAGTGGGGCTGGGCCATGTGGAGAGTTTGTTTTGCCAGGACAGGAGGTCTTGAGGGCCTGGAATCCAAGAATTTCCAGGAGGTCCTTCACCATGTTCCTGCCAAGTCCGTGGCCACCACACCACAAAATGGCAGAGCCCAGGTTCATGTCCTCGATAAGGATCCCGTGCCTTTTTCATTGTGCTGACTCTCTTTGCCATGGTGGGGCTTTTTATGGCCTGGTAGGGTAAGGGCCTCAGTGTTCTAGCCGCAGGTGATGGAGAGACTGCCTGCCTTTGGTTCCTCGAATCACTGACCTGGGAGCCCCATCACGTGGGGCCCCAAGCAGAGGCCCCGGGTAGCCACCTCTGGGATGTCCTAGCTTAGGTGCTGCTGAGAGTTTGTCAATACTTGTATCTCCTCTCTGCCTTAATGATCAATGTGTCCAAAGTCACAAACTCAAACCACAGCACATGGAAATAATACTTATCCTATGACTGCCATAAATGCACTCCAGTGTCTCAAATGTATTTCATCGATCATTCTTTAAGGTACAAAAGACGTGTGTCAACATAGAAACAGTCTCTATTCTGGGGAAGAAACTCCATGAATGTGTGTACTATTGACTCTCAGTCAAAGATGCCATTTTCCTCTTTGCGGGCCATCGACGTTTTGCACCAAGCCCTCTCTTCTTAGATAATTGCACTTTACACTTTGGCATCACGTTCTGAAGGCTTGAGGCTGAAGTTTCTACTGCCCTTCCACGAGGAGGACAGCCTGTGGTCCCCACAGTGAGATCTGGTTCTTTCTGCTCATTCGTGGCGTGACGTGGAGAGCAGGGAGCTGATTTGCAGAAGGACCGCTTGGTAGACAGGTAAGAAACTCCACGTTTATTTAAATGTAAGCTTAACTGCGGCAAATATGGAAAAGCCTCTGGGAAGATTTCTTTTACGGAGCACATTTCTGTTGCCTAGGATATGAATCCTTAAAGTCTGTCTGAGTAGCCGGAATTTACAAACAGGAACCTTCCCTGTTTCGCATGGTTCCGTGTTGGCGCGTGTTTGAAATGCCCTTTGAGTTGCTAATTACTTTGTTTGTATTCTATGCTCAAACAATCACATGGGCGGGTTTTCACCTTGGTATTTTGGCTCCTAGAATGGTAGGTACATGAAAAGCTTTGATTCTCATCCAGGAGGTATCATGTGGGAGTGAAGTCTCCAAAGAAGCAGTGGTAGGATGCCCCTTTGCTGCTGTATTGTTTTTTTAATGGAACCCACGTTCAGAATTCCCCAAGGAAGTAGCTGAGACAGTGATGCTGAACCTTACTTCAAAAGGGCTATTCTCAAGTCTCCTTGAGCATATTAATGTCCAGAATTATATAGGAGCTGCTGTGTAAAGCTCCAGGAGCAGCACCTATGTAAATGGATCCACCAAGTGGCCCCATGAACTTGGACCGCCATCTTGTTGGTGGTGCAGCCTTGACCCTAGGGGTGCAAGACTGGGGCTGCATCCAAAGGTTTCTGTGACATCCATTGACCCCACCCATCATAAAAATCATTCTCGCTTTTCCTCTAGTCTTATTTTATGGATAAAAGCTTGGCTTGTTAAGTGAGTACGTCTGAATTAGACCCTGAAATTCTGAGTTTGGAGACGCCAGGAGAGCAATGGTTATTCTCTTCTTTGAAAACATGAATAATTATTGTCTGGGGAAGTTTCATTTTAGAAGGTGAATGCAAAGAGGCCCAGCACGTATGGCCCAGTAGGGGAAGCCCAGTCTACTCTGCATGCTGGATGTATTCTTTCCACTCTCAAATGCAGTGTCAGCCCATCTCTGTGCACTGCCCACTCCCCTACCCATGGGGGACCCTACAATGATATTTTCTGCCAAAAAGGACATATTTATTTTAAGAGGCCCTTTGCAGCTCCCTTCTTGCATTCTGCAGAGTTCCACAACACTAAGTAAGTGCTGTATCCACCTTTAGTTTTAAATAGCAGCATACCTTCCAAAACCTGATTTGACAACATGGCTAAACGTTGGATGAACAGAGCTCATCGCTGACTTAAGTCAAAATCTGTTGTCTAGAGCTACGGTGTTTAGTAAAAAACTGGTAAAACGATATAATGTTTTTCCGTTCAGATTTGCTTAAACAGGTGAAAGTACTCTGTGCTTGGAAAGTATGATTATACCTTTCATGTTATCAGATGCAATAGATTGTGTGCCTTAGTTGTGAGTAGGGGTTAGAGGCTAATTAGGTTTTGCAAAGATATCTGTTCCAAAGAGCTGGGAGATCTGCCTTTGTTCCTAGAATGGGCCTCCCTCCCATGGGGACATTCTTTCATACCCCCTTGGTTTCTCACCATGATAGAGTCGCCCTTGATACAGCTGCCAAGAGACAGTGACCCCTGTGGGCCTGGGGGGGTGGAACACCAGGCCATCTGTGGACAAATGAGGTGCAACGCCCATGTCCACCTCAAGAGACAGTGACCCCTGTGGGCTTGGGGAGGTGGAACACCAGGCCATCTGTGGACAAATGAGGTGCAACGCCCATGTCCACCTCAGGAGCGAGTGCCTTCCGGGGAGTTTCTGTGGGTGGCTGGCTGGTTCGTAATCGGGTATCTCACCTTTCTGTGATTTTGGAGGCGTCCACACACTCCACGTCCACATGGAGGGGGGTTTTCACAGATGCTTTGGGGACCAGGCTGTCTATTGGAGCCCTGCCGGGGGTTGAAGAAGCATAGTGAGTGTACAGGGCAATGTACCCGTGGAGCTGCTGGTCTCGGTAGACCCTGGGAGTGAGCCAACAGCGTTAGCCAGTGCGGGGATGCGTGGGCACAGTTGTGGTGATGATGAAAGGTAGTCTTTGGCCCATAAATCATCAAGGAGGGAGACAGGCTAGCAACGGGAGCATTTTGGGGGTGGGGCCCTGGCAGCAATATCTGAAAAGCTCCCCGGGTGGTTCCAGCACGCATCTGAGGCTGAGACCAGTGGACCAGGACTTCCTGAGAAGCCCCGGACAGCTGGGCCCATCTGGTCATTGAGCCCGCCTGTGTCTCCTGAGCTCCGGCCCCTCCGCCCTGGCTCCTGACCCAGCCTCTCGCTGCTCTCCCACCTCCAGGACATTTACCTTTACACTGAGGACCTCCACTCTCTCAGCCTGTTCACCCGCCGTCTCTTCCACCATCCGCCCTTCCCTGAGGCTGCCGCTACCCTGCACTGCTCCCCGCTGGGTGGCCGCTTATCTTTGCCCTGAGCATCTCTGGGGAACGGCACTCACTGAGCTCTTGCCCTTCTCACCCACAGGACCTTCTCCATCATTCCCCTCCAGCCACCTCCATGGCCATGCCTTGCATCTAAGTTTCATGCAGCGCCAAGACCCTCCTGAAATCCCAGATGCAAACCTCCCAGTCTCTAACTTACACTCCCTGTGGTATTCCCATAGGATGAAAACTGCCCTTCGTAGAGCTCTCCCCCTGGGCTTCCATGCCCTCTTCACATCACACTGTTTTGTCTTCTTAATCCTCTAGTTGTCCCTCATCTGTGTCCTTGGGGGTTCCGACGCTTGTGTCCACCCACTAAAGGTTGTTCTCATTTTCAACTGTCTTCTCGGGCAGCTTATTCAATCCGGGCTTCAAAAAGAGCAATCTTCTTCTGTACATTCCCATAGCACCTTGTGCTGTGCTGAGACCTGCCACAGAGCATTCACATTGTCTATTTACTTGTCAGTCTCCCAGCCTGCATTAGTCAAGTTCTCCAGGGAAACAGAGCCAAGAGGATCTCTGTAGATACAGATGTAGAGACCAGGGAATTTGTGTCTATCTAGCTATAGCTAAATCTGTCTATTGCTATAGAGAGAGTTGGAGGCAGATTTTGATAGATGGACAGATTCAATAGAATTACAATGAGCTGCGGTATAGATAAAGACCTATTGTAGTCATCTATCTATCTATCTGCATCTTTGTCTCTGTAGATAGATAGCTGTAGATGTAGCTATCGATAGGTAGTAGGGACAGAGATACCTGTCTGTAGTTACATCTGTAGCTATAGATAGATGTATTTGTATCTATGTATCCATCAGGAGATTTATTTTAAGGAGTTGGCTCATGTGATGGTGGCAGCTGGCAGGTCTGGTATCTGCAGGGTGGGCCGGAAAGCTGGAAATTCAGGCAGAGATTCTATGTGGCAGCCTTGAGAGAGAATTGCTTCTTCTTTGGGAAACTTTCATCTTTGCTTTTAAGGCCCTCGCCTGATTAGATACGACCCACCCACCATCCCACCATCCCCTGCCCAACCACATTATGGGAGGGTAATCTGCTTTACTCAGAGTCTGCTAATTTCAATGTAGTCACATCTAAGAAAAACCACATGTGGACCAACATTTAAATGACTGGGCCCCGTAGCCTCGTCAATTGATACATAAAATTAATGATCACATCACACCACCCATCTCAAGTACTGAGAGCAAGCACCTTACCCAGCACCTTATGTGTAAATACTTTGTGTCTAACTCCTATACAGAGGTAACAGTAGCAATGATCTGTACAGTTTACTGAGTTTATACTACGTACCAGGCTTTGTTCCTTGGCCTTTGCATGTGATATGATATTGAATCCTCACAGCTATCTTTGAGGCAGGTAATTTTGCTTTATGTGAGGTGACTAAGTTCAAAAAATTCCAATTTATAACCCAAATGGATATAATCAGTGAGTGGCACAGCTGGGCTTTGATCCAGGTCTCTTGGATTCTCGCTATAACCCCGATATTCCAGCACTTTCTACTCTTTCCCTCACCTACATTGGTACATAGGGTATAATCCTATGCTCAGATGGAAGACAAATGTGCCTTTTCTGCATCTCTTGAATTGTTTCTATAAATGAGTATTTATGAACAACCTTTCTCCTCTCAAGTGTGTAAAAAAAAAGAAAAAAATTCCTAGGGTTGCATTAAGCCTCTTATAACCCAGAGTCTCTCTTGACCCTCAGCTGCCTCTTGTTTTAAAACAATACTGGGAAAGAGATAAATCAATAGCTCTCCTGGCAGAGCCCTTACACGGGCTTTAGGGTATCATTACCATAACATTATGCGTCAGGAAGCAGTTTTCCAAATGACACTTCCGTGACCCCAAAGAGCCTTAAATCAAAGAAGAGAGTCTTGGGTTGTGACCATTTAGTGCAAAAAACATGCATCGACTTCTGGTTTTATAAACAATCAAGAAAACATCACACAGAGGACAAAGTTATTTAGCTTATGATTCTTTGGACTACTGTCTGGGTCCAAGTAGACGTCACTGTTTTCTCTTCATTGTTTCTTGTCAGTGTTTTCAGATCCAGACCCTAACATTGCAGGGTATTATCAGGAAAAACAAAAACAAAAACTTGCATGGCAGTTGGGAATTCTTGACTGGAATATTTGTAAAAGCGGGTTAGAAATGTCTTGGGGGATGGGACCATGTCTTATTCAACATTGTATCCCCGGCTGCTTGAACAGTGCCTCATTCTAAACACAGGGGAGCCCCAGACCCATTTCTTCAATTGAGTCATTGAATCCCCCAAAGTGGGGAATCAGGTCGTTGCATAACAAGTTGGTTTTCCTCTTTATCCAATAGCTTAGTTCTCCAGAAAACATATAGATTGTGCCTTTCTCATGCAGTTTCCAGTACATTTTCCAGAAAATAAGATGTATGCTAATGCCATTTCAATTGAAAGAGGTTTTGACTAAGAGTATTACGGTCATTTGAAAAGAGTAACTTGCTCTTTATGTTATGCAAAAGACTTTGTCTGAAAGCACCTGCCTAGTCAATAAAGCTGTCCATTGCCTGTAATATAGATGTAGGTCCCCCGTCCACATCCTGGAGCACAGTTCTCGGGAAAGTACCA